TATACGCAGATGGTATGATAATGTACACAGAAAATCCCAAAGACTCAACCAAAAAAACCCTCTTAGATCTAGTAGAACAGTATAGTAGGGTTGCAGGATACAAGATCAATATATATAAAAAAAATAATAGATTTCTCTACAGTAACAAAACATGGAAAAGGAAACTAAGAAAGCAATACCATTTACAATGACCAATCACAAGATGAAATACTTGAGAATCAACCTAATTAGAAACACAAAAGACCTTTATAAGGAAAACTACCAAACACTACTACAAAAAACAGTAAGAGACCTAAGTAAATGGGAAAATATCTTCTGCTCATGAATAGGAAGATTCCAAATACTGGAAAAAATGGCAATCCTAACAAAAGCAATCTGCAGGCTCAACACAATCCCAATATAAATACCAAACTCATTTTTCAAAGATATAAAAGAGGCAATTGGCAGCTTTATTGGAAAGGAAGGGGACCCTGAATAAACAAAGCTCTTCTGAAAAATAAAAATCAAGTGGTGGGCATAGCAGTCCCCGATCTCAAAACCCCTACACAGCTGTAGAAAACAAAACAACATGGTTTGGTACAATATACATATAAACCAAAAGAATAGAATGGAGAACTCAGAAATGACTCACCTACCTATGGTCAGTTGCTATTTGAAAAAGATTCAAAACCTATCAAATGGGGAAAGAACCACTTCCACAAAGAGTGCTTCAAAACTGGACATCCACCTGCAGAAAATGGAAGCAGAATCAACATCTCACACCGTACACCAGAAGAAACTCATGATTGGTCAGAAACCTAGGGGTAAATCCCAAAACCAGAAGGATCATAAGAGACAAAATGGGAACAAACTTAGAAGCCCTAGCCTATGGCATAATCTTGTAAATATAGCCGGAAATGCACAAGTAGAGGATTAAATGGATGAATGGGACCTCCAAAAAATTTCTTGTATCAGATTTTTCAAATTTCGAAATCATTACATTTTTGTGTATATTTCTACCCCGCCCCATGCCAAGTTCTTTGTTGGTTTCATTTCTTGTATTTGAAATACTCTTCAAGGACATCCTTGGCCTGGGATTCTTTGCCATCGTCCTTAACACCTACACAACTACAGCCAGCTACTTTGCGGGGCTTTCCTTCTCAGTGAGTTTTGCAGAGGCCTCCCCACTCCCCCAGTTTCTTATTATCATCAAGCTTTATCAGGTTGATTTGGTGTTCAGCACAAAGGGCCTCTGCTGACCTGACATACACAGGCTCATTACAGCCGGCTGCCGGCACACAAAGATGGGCTTGGCGCTTGTCTAAGGCGTGGGCGGCATCGTGGATTCCACGTGCTAGGCCATCGTGGGGGAGCGCGGTCTTTAGCACCTCTTGTAAAGCCGTATTGACGTCCGTTACACCTCCAGCAGCAATGCCTTCCTTCCTTGGCCATGGCGGTGGGTCACTGGTGGGGTGGAATCTTGAACACACCAGGGCCTCCTCCTGGCGGCAAGTGGGGAAAAGCGTGTATGTATTAGGAGTCATCTTATGGGCTTGCTTAGTACTGGTAATTTTTTTTCTCTTTAAAAAACAAATATGTATTTTTCTAAGTGCTAAGATCCACTTCCTAAATAACATGCCTCTGGAAACTCTGAACTTTGATAAATGTCAATGGTTGTAGAGGGTCTTCAGGCCTTTTGTTCATAGGGTCGCTATGAGTTGTGCTCGACTTGAAGGCAGTCAACACCAACAACAGCAAGATGAGTGTACTTGTATTAACACATGCTGGCCAATTTAATGATTTAAATTATTTACGTTATCCAAGGAGAGAAAATTGTTAGTCTCATTGAATTTTTCTTCATAAAGACTTTATTAATTTCCCAAGTTCTCCTTACAATTCAAGTTTTGTTTATGGATTGAGGATATATGTTATTGTTATATGCAAATTTAGAGTTGTTATATTTTCTATTTGATAGGATCTATTTTTCAATGTAACCATTCTTTATCCCAAAGAAAAATGTCTTCAAACCAGTCATGCCTGGTTGTAGTTTTACCACCTTTATTTTGATTAGAATGTGCCCATACATGCTTTTACATCATCTTACATTTAACCTCTCTGTGACTTTGTGTATCTTTAAGTGTGCCACACACACACACACACACACACACACACACTGAGGAGCAACAATGTCAGTCTGGAGACTAAGGTGCACCTGATCCAGGCCATGGTCTTTACAGTCACTTGCTATGCATCAGAAAGCTGGACAGTGACTAGGGAGGATAGAAGGAGAATTGATGCCTTTGAGCTGTGGTGCTGGAGGAGAGTATTGAATATACCATGGACTGCTAGGAGAACAAACAAGTTTGTCCTGGAGAGGGTGAAGCCAGACTGCTCCTTGGAAACAGGATTTTGAAGCTCCATCTCACGTACTTTGGACATGTTGCAAGGCAGGATCAGTCCTTGGAGAGAGGCGTCACGCTTAGGAGGGTGGAGGGACAGTGCAGGAGAGGAAGACCCTTGATGAGATGGATTGATTCCATCACTGGGGTAATGGAGATAGGCATGTCGGAGACAATGAAATTGGCAAGGAATAGAGCAGGGTTTAGGAGTCGCCAGCACATAACAACAACTACACGCGCGCACACACACACACACACACACACACACACACACACACACACACACACGAGAACTCTGGCACTGCAATCCTGAAGGCACACATTAACTACCTTTGAAAACCCACCAGAGGGTCAGCTATGGGTTGGTTCCAACTCAACAGTACACAACAACAACAATATATGAAATATAGCTATATTATTTATTTATCCTCAATTATAGTTTGTTTCTACCATCTTTCCCATGCTTTGTTCTCCAGAGAGAATTCTCTGGGCTCAACCTGTGGAGAATTCTCTTCTGTAAGACTGAAGCTTTCTGTGAGATTGTAACATTTCCTATAATTTTATTTGTTTTCTCTAACTGTTAGTAAACATAAATAAAATTTAATGATAGTTAATAACATCACCTTTTTCTCAAATAATACAAGACTACCTTAACCACTTTTGCTCTTTTTCTCATGTTAGTTTATTTTAGTTATTTGTTCTACTTTTATTTCTGTTTTCATTTGTAGGGAGCCAGTATGTTATACACATACGTTTAGCTAAGTAAAATGTCCACTCTTTATTATATTCTCTATTCCTTCATGCATCATCCTACTGGTTTTTTTAAAAATTTATTTTATGCAGGTTTAATGACAAAGTTTGTATACATTGTTTTCCACACCAGATCTTTCCCATTTCCTTTATCCACCCCTCCTTCCACCCATCAAATAGTGCAACTCTGTGATTACCCTCTTGTTCCTACCTCTGCTTCTATCCTCCTTCTCTTGAATCCTCATACATGTTTTACTAGTTATTTTTCTATTTCTACACCAATGTTCATAGCAGCATTATTCACCATCAGAAGAACATTGAAACAGCCCATCTGTCCAACCCTAATAGAATGGATTGAGAAATTATGGTATTCACACGATGGAATACTACACAGCACACAGGAGCAATGATTTTGTAAATTGCTCCCTCACTTGGGACAGGGGGCTTGCCAAGCGTTATGCTAGGTGAACTAACTCAGTCCCATAAGGACAAGTACTGTAAAAGACCATTATTGTAGCAGTTTTTGTTTGTATTTGTGTTTGGGTTTTTTATTGGCTTGCTTACAAAGTTCATATACGTTGTGTTTTACACTATTCTTCGTTCACATTATGTTTCATACAATTAATCTCATTCATTGTTTTATAAAATTAATCATCATTGGACCTTGCCCATCATTATCCTGTCTTTTCATCCAGATCCTTCCCATTTCCTCCCCCATCCCTTTACCCACCAAACTGTGCAACCCTGTGGTTTCACTTCTACCCATCCTCAGCCCTTCCCTACCTTGAGTTCCTATATATGTTTTACTGGATATCTTTCTATTTTTACAATAATTGTCTCATGCAGTATTTGTCCTTATGAGACTAAGCTTGCTCAGCATAATGCTCTCCATTCTCTCCCAACTTACATAGTATTTTTCAAAATCGTTGCTCCTGAGTGCTGCATAGTATTCCATTGTTGAATGTACCACAATTTCTCAATCCATTTGGTTGTGGTTGGACATTTGGGCTGTTTCTATATTTTTGCAATGGTGAATAATGCTTCTATTCAGCAGTATTTTGCTTGTATGTGATATTAATGATATTGTTCGATAGTTTCCGCCTTCAGTTGGATAACCTTTCTTGGGAATGGGAACAAATAGGGAAAATAAATATTTTTTCAGATACTTTTAATAACTAACAGTGGAAGGAGGGCAGGTCAGAACATTCTACTATGTTGTTACCAAACATGATACATTTTCTTAATCTTATTTTTTGTTTAGATTAATGGTAAATCATAAAATTATTCTTTATATTTATTACCAGTTTTTATTCATTCCATGGATTTTCTCATTATGTCATTACCCATTTTTTCTGTTTATATTTTCTTATTATTTATCTGTAAGACGTCATTATTTATTGAAAGCAGTAGAATTTGAACCGTTAAACACATACTGTTTTGACGCACAAATGAAAAGTGTTAAAACACGTTATGGGGTTTGATGCTTATTATAGCCTCCTTTGATATTCAGCAGTAAAGACAAGGTAAGGAATGTATTCACTACACAGAGAAGGGAGCCTAGTCTTTCTGTTAGGGAGAATCTTGTATGTTAAGTAGGGCAGTGTTAACAGTGGCCCTGTTTGGGGTTTTTAAATATAAACTTCTTATTTTACAATGGCCTTTTTAAGCTAAGCTTGATTAAATACATTGTCTCAGGAGACAATAACATTTTTTCCCAATCAAACCTACTTGCTTAACTTACCATTAACTACTAATAACAGACAACTGTTTTCCTGTGTCATGGCTGAAACTGCAAGATAATTCGTATTTTCTAAGGGTGCTGTGGGCCCTCACTGTAACTGTACTCAGACACCATTCTTTTTCTGTCCCTAGGAGTACACTATTGATGTATTCTTCCGACAGACCTGGCATGATGAAAGACTGAAATTTGATGGCCCTATGAAGATCTTGCCACTCAACAATCTCCTGGCTAGTAAGATCTGGACTCCTGACACCTTCTTCCACAATGGCAAGAAATCAGTGGCCCACAACATGACTACGCCCAACAAACTTCTCAGACTGGTGGACAATGGGACCCTCCTTTACACAATGAGGTCAGAGTCATGCCCCCATCCAGGCAAAGTGTTCTGGGCAGGGTAGTCATGAATTGAAGGTTGCATGTTTTAGAAAATTAATTGACAGTTCTGCCATGTTTACAATTAGAAATATGCCTTCTTTTTTTTTTTTTTTAAAAGAACTTTCTTTTTTTTTTTTTGTTTTTTTTTTAATTTTTATTTTGTGTGCGTGTACCGTCAAATCAGATCTGACTGGTACAGGAGGATATTGCGCCTCCTTCTCCGGCAGAGCATCTGGTGGATTCGAACCGTGTTCCTCTGGGATTGCAGTGCAGCTTCTTGCCACTAGGCCACCAGAGCTCCCCTAGAAATATGCCTTCTAATATATTTGTATGCAGATATACTTGAAACACGTGTTATACATACACATATAAATGGAATTGCATGTATATCCATGCAAAGATACACATAGATATGTGTGTAAATGTGTGCATATGCAAAGACACCTATATATTCAGGAACACTTAGATCCACAATCTCACCAAAGCATGTACACAGATAGGAATGCTGTCATGTCGGTCAGAGTAGTTGCAACAACAAACAACTCCTATGACACAAAGTTATGAATTTTTAATGATATAATATTTTCTGAAATACACCATACTCAAACACATATATAACAACATAACCAACTTTTAAATACAAAGGCCTTTTTAATACAGAGGAGGATAGATTGTTTTGATTTAATTGAAAGTTAGGTGTAAACTAGTCATTTTTTATTTCATTAACAATCAAGTGTAAGCTGATTGGTCATTTGGATTTAGTTAATAATCAGCTGTGGGCTGGAAGCGTCTTGTTCAAATCAATCAGGACCTGTAGGCGGGCCTTTATATTTAAGAGTCAGTTGGGTCCTGCCTAAGAGTCTCCAGTTTGGAGCAGTTGGATTCCGGACGTGCTTTTTACAGCTTATTATTATAAGTAAAATATTGTTATGTGCCATCAAGTCGCTTGTGACTCATAGCGACCCTATGTACAAAAGCCCTAAACACCGTTCTATCCTGTGCCAACGTAGCCATCTCAAACACACTCATTCCCACTACTCCAGTCACAGAATCGATCCATCTCATCGAAGGTCTTCCTCTCCTGTGCCGCCCCTCCACTCTGCCAAACATGATGTCCCTCTCCAAGGACCAGTCCTTCCTTGCAACATGCCCAAAGTATGCCAGATGAAGCTTCAGAATCCTTGACTCCAAGAAGCATTCTGGCTTCACCTTCTCCAGGACAAACCTGTTTGTTCTCCTAGCAGTCCATGGTATATTCAACACTCTTCTCCAGCACCACAGCTCAAAGGCATCAATTCTCTTTCTATCATCCCTATTCACTGTCCAACTCTCTGATGCATAGCATGTAATTGCGAAGACTGTAGCCTTGATCAGGTGTACCTTAGTCTCCAGTCTGACTTCATTGCTCTTCAGTACTCTTGAGAGGTCTCTCACAGCTGACTTTCCCAGTGCAATTCGTCTCTTGATTTCCTGGCTGCTGTTACCAAGAGTGTTAACAGTGGAGCCAAGTAAACTAAAACTGTTAGCTGTCTCAATCTCTTCACCATCCATACTGATGCTGCCAATTGGCCCAGTGGTGAGAATCTTTGTTTTCTTGATGTTGAGCTTGAATCCCTATAGGAGGCTGCAGTCCTTGACCTTCTGCAGCAAGCGCTTCAGGTCCTCCTCAGTTTCAGCAAGCAGGGCTGTGTCATCTGCATAACGCAGGTTGTTGATGACTCTTCCACCAATCCTGATGCCACATTCCTCCTCATAAGCCCAGCGTCTCAGGTGATCTGTTCTGCATACAGATTGAAAAGGTATGGAGACAGAATGCATCCCTGACGAACCCCCTTCTTGATTTTGAACCATGTAGTGTCTCCTTGCTCTGTTCTGATGACTGACTGCCTCTTGGTCCAAGTGTACAGGTTTCGCATTAGCACAATCAAATGTTCTGGGATCCCCATTCTTCTCAGAGTCAGCCACAGCTTGTTGTGATCCACACAGTCAAAAGCCTTTGCATAGTCAATAAAGCACAGATAGACATTCATCTGGTATTCTCTGCTTTCAGCCAAGATCCATCTAACATTAGCTATAATATCCCTAGTACCTCTTCTAAATCCAGGCTGCACATCTGGCATTTCTCTGTTGACATATTGTTTCAAACGTTTTTGGATAATTCTCAGCAGAATTTTGCTTGCATGTGATATTAATGATATTGTTCGATAATTTCCGCACTCTGTTGGGTCACCTTTCTTTGGAATGGGAACAAATATCGATCTTTTCCAGTCAGTCGGCCAGCTGGCTGTTCTCCAGATTTCCTGGCGCAACTTAATGAGCACACCCAAGGCAGCATCTGTTTGTTGAAATATGTCAATTAGTATGCCATCAACTCCTGGAGCCTTGTTTTTTGCCAATTCCTTCAGAGCAACTCGAACTTCCTCCTTCATCACCATAGGCTCTTGCTTATATGTTATTTCATGAAATTCTTCTGTGTCAGCCAATTCCTTCTGATACAGTGACTCAGTATATTCTTTCCATCTTCTCTTGATACTTCCTGGATCGTTTAACTTTCTACCCAAACTGTCCTTAAGTATTGCCACCTGTGGCTTAAATTTGTTTTTCAACTCCTTCAGCTTAAGAAATGCTGAGCAAGTCCGGCCCTTTTGATTTTCTGACTCCGGCTCTCTGCACATTTCATTATAGTATCTTGCTTTGTTGTCCCAGGCTGCCTTTTGAAATTTTCTCTTCAGCTTTTGATTTCTTGGTTTCTTCCTTTAGTTTCTCAGCACTCTAATGCTACATTCAGAGTCTCATCTGACATCCATCTTGGTCTTTTCTTCTTTTTCAGCCTTTGTAATGATACTTTTCATTCTTCATGGACAGTTTTCTTGATATCCTCCCAGAGCTCATTTGGTCTATGTTCGTTGGTGCTCAAGGCCTCAAACCTGTTCCTGATATTGGATATTGAATTTTGCTATCAAAAAGAATGAATTTGCAAGTAGTTGCAATGTAATCAGATTATTTTTGGAAACAATAGAAGACTGTTAGTTCTTACTCCTGCTTTTGCTGCTTAAGCTAGCTTCTCTGTTGTCAGTTATCACTTCGCGAAGCTCCCTTCCACATTAGTGAGTGTCATTTTTGCCCGACTGGACATTTATTGAACGTATAACTGAAATCCTTCAGTGCACGCTCTATGCCTAGTTCACATTTGCGTGCTTTTATTTCTACAGTGGACCTTAAATAATACAAGCTTGATAACCATGGTGACTAGATGCTGTGTGCCTGCCCCTACACTGTTGTTATTAGTTGTTGTGTCAATGATGACTCATTACAACCTAACGTCAGTACATTGTCCAGTCTTGGGCCATCTTCATGATCATGGATATTTCTCTCTGGATGAAGCCAAAATTCTACTAGTCTTAAGTATCTCAAATGTTTTAATTCCTTATATGATTCCTGCAAGATTTTGGGAGAACAGAAGGTGCCCCCTCCAGATACTTAAAAGTTGGGTGAGAAAAGAGTTGCTGAGAAAGAGAGAAGTGATTATTTACACTTTTTTACTCTATTCAGACCATGGTCTTTTCAAGCACTTGCGATGCATCTAAGAGCTGGACAGTGATGACAGTGGAAAAATTGATACCTTTGAGCTGTGATGTTGTAGAATATCCCATGGCCTTCCAAAAGAAGGTGCAGCCAGTGTTCCTTTGGAGGCAAAGATGACACAGTTTTATCTCTCATACTTTGGGTGTTTTGCTATGAAAGATTATTCCTTGAAGGGGATATCATGCTAGGAAAGGTGAAAGGTCGGTGAAAAAGAGGTGAATTGACAAAGTGACTGCAGCAACGGATTCAGTTGTGACAGATGAGGATGGCACAGTATAGGATACGACTCAGATTTGTTGTTCGTTGGGTCACTGCGAGTCATAGTTGACTCGATGACACCTTACAACAACAACAACCAAAAGGTATGTTAATTCTTTTAACAGTCCATGAAATAGTCAATCTTTGCGAGCACTGTAATTCAAACATATTGATTCTTTGTTGTTCGTTATTCAATGCCCAGCTTTTACATGCATATGAAGAAATTGAACATACTCTGGCTTGCCTCAGGATTCATCACCTGCACACAGAGTTGGAAGAATGGGGGAAAGATAAACACTTCCAAATCTCTTCTGAAGATGGCAAGAATGTAATGTTCTGCTACTGAGTCTATGGCAAATTTCCTCAGTCCTTCATTGAGGTGCAAACTAGAGATGGTGCATGAATAGAAAAGATTAAGTCAATGATTCCCCTCCACAGTAGATACTTCACCTTAGAACTGAGAAGGTGGATCTGGAAGGAGAATATTCTCAAACTTCATGGATAAAAGCTAGTTCTATTTGTGTCCCCATAACTGATTAATCTAGTGACCTTTTGCAAGTCACAAACTGTCTTCTTTCTCTAGTTCCACATTCTGATAATAATGTAGTCATTGCCTGTCTTACAGGTACAAGAAAAGCACAAATTGGATAAACTCTAAAGAACACTTAGAACTTTTCAGAAAGTGTTATTCTACAATATCACTATTATTATTTTGACACTTAGAAATCTTGTCTGAATTCCGCATGAAAATTGTAGAAGGACAGCTTCCTAGTAAAAAATGTGTTCAGACATGGTTTGGCTATGTAACTAGGGCAGTTTAGAAAGAAGCCATGGCTTGCATTATCTTGGGACTTCAGAACAACCATAAAAATGCAGGGTGAGTCCCCTTATCTGCTGTTTGCTTCATCAGCCCATTGGCAGAAGACAGAAAAGATTAGCATAGCCCCAGCACAGAATGGCACATGCACATCTATGAAGTGATTCACAGCTTTCAGGTAGCGTTAAGTTGTTGTTGCTGTTAGGTTCTGTTGAGTCAAATATGACTCATAGTGACCCTGTGAACAACACCTTAATCCTGTGCCATCCTCATCATCTCTGATACACTTGAGGACATTGCTGCAGTCACCGTGTCAA